TCATTTTAAGGGGGCTGGTTTATCACAAAGTTTGAGAACCACTCTTCTAAGATAAATTTATCCCTAAATCCATATATGACAACTAAGTCCTAAATTATAATAACAGGTACTGCATCTTAATGTCTCTATAGTTATCTGTAGACATCTCCATTTCCCACTCAAATGAACTTATAAGTATCCTTACATAACTCCTTGCCATTCTTAGAAGAGACAACATATTTAATAATATGTCAGTGCCTTTTTAGGCCATTTTAAATCTTTTACATTATTACAGGGATTATAAAGCTACAAACCCCCCCCCCCACACACACAGATATTACTGAACTGCAACTCACAGCAACCCTCATCACTGGCCATTTTAGTTGAGTGTGTTGAGACTTACAGTTCAGCAAAATACCAAAGGCCACAACAGGTTCATCTTTCTTTAATAAATGGTATGGGATGCAAAAGAGAGACAGCCTTGCCACAAGTGATCACCTGAAATCCGCATTATTTTTAAAGGCATAATGCTATAGGGCCACAACACAGCCCAAAAAGCACAGTTTTATACCATCTGGCAGGTATGCAACTGCTGGAGCTGCAAAAGAATTGCAACAAGCAAAAAAAAAAAAAAAAAAAGAAAAAACCAAACTCCCCAGAGCAATCAGGAATGAATGACTTGTTAGAGCTCAAGGAAAAATCAGAATCCAGCCTTCAAACACTTTAAATTTTCTTTCTTTTCTTCTCCTACACAGATTGATCACAATTTCCTGTGCCTGATTTATAATTCAAAGCACCAAAACATAGAAGAAATTACCTTGGCGACCTTCATCATTGGTNGCCCAGCTCGTTCCCGGCATTGCCCCGGCCTGTGATGCTCCAGGTACGGCCCTCCCCCCTTCCCTTCCATTCCCTGCGAGGCCGGGACAGAATACCCCGGGCCGCCGCAGCCAAGCGCGATGGGGAACGCCAGACGCCTCGCGCGAAGGGGGGAGGCCTGGCGACGCTGCGCTCTGCCGGGCGCTCACCGACAGGGCCAGGGAGGCCGAGGCGGCCAGGGAGGAACAGCCAACTGCCGGCAACCAGCCGGAACTGCTGGGGCCGGCCCGTATTGAAGAATACGGCCGAATTTACCCGGGCTGGCCAAGAAAAGCGCACCTCCAGCCTTCCCCGCAACCGGGAGAAGCCCCCTCCCTTTTGCAAGGTCGCCCCCTCCCCGCTTTTGGGGTGGGGGAGAATTGAGAGAGAGAGAGAGAGAGAGAGAGAGAGACAAACAGGCGGAAAAATGTGTGTGCTGAAAAATGCCCCCTCGGCTTATATGCGAGTCACCAATTTTTCCCAGTTCTTTGTGGAAAAATAGGTCCCTCGGCTTATATTCGGGTTGACTTATACTCGAGTATATACGGGTATTTCATATAAGATGAGCCAAATTCTGCCATGTTTGTCTGGCTCCTTATCCTGTGTTTCAAGCTAAGATTCAATCTCAGTAACAATTCAAATATGTTGTATTTAACTATTGCTGAAATGTTCTGACAGACTGTAAATCATACATTTTTTCATATTCTACCTCTGTTGTTAAACAAAACAGTCATTAAGTGAAAAATCATGATCAGGAATTTCCTTTTCTCAATCCACTTCTCTTTGGAATGTTCCCTCCTGTGCTGACAAGGCTTGAAACTGACAAGATTAATAATTTTCATACCTTCTGTCTTTGTTTGCCTCCTAATTCCCCCCCCCAAAATAATTAGCAAGATAGGAATTATTTTTTGTATTTACATTCATTGGAGAGGAAGGAAGTAGTCCTTGAGCTAGACCAGACATGTCAAACACAAGGCCCGGGGGCCGGATGCGGCCCGCGAAGTGGTTTCATGTGGCCCGCGAAGCCATCCTGGAAACAGTGAGGGAACGGCCCCCGCTGCCTTGGCCCTGGCCTAGGCCGGCCGGGAGCCAATGTACAATTTTGTGGTGGCCATTTTGGCACTTGTCCTAGTGGACCATGCCTTGGCACTTGCCCCGGTCCCAACCCCTTCTGCCAGAGACCCTCAGACCTGTCCCACTCCTGCCCAGGCCCCCACAGGCCCCCTTGACGCGAATGATGTAGAACTGGCCACACCCACCCAGTAGGCCACACCCACTCCATCCACACCCACCCAGTAGGCTGCACCCACTCTGGCCACACCCACCCGGCCCCCCCAAGGGCAACCGCAATGCTGATGCGGCCCTCAGTGAAATTGAGTTTGACACCCCTGAGCTAGACCATTCATTCAGCAACTGTTCAAAATTATGATGATAACAAAACACCAGGGCTGAAAGGGGCCTTGAAGGTCTTCTAGTCCATCCATGATGCTGAATGAATGGTGATTGCAACCAGCCCTCATAGTGCTGGTGGTACCACACCCCTGTCATCGCCATTTGTAGCTCTCCCTGCCAGTTTGCTCAGAAAACCAAAGGAAGGTCGCGGGTCACTGGGATAAGTCTCCGCCACTCATGAACCTTTCTCCAGCCCCTCTGCAGTCAAGCTACACTGGCCAATTGCATGTCCTCATGCTCCCTTCTCAATGTGCACCGCACCTCCACACTCTCCCTAACTCACCCTATACTCCCTCACACACTCTTTCTGCACTGCACCTCTCGTGCAATCCCTGACACCCTCCCTGACCCATGATTCTCACTCACACCCTCGTCCCATCCCTGATAATCTTCCTTCTAATTTTTATACCTAGTGTTAGAGACAACTTAAACCCTTCCTTCTTTAGTCATGCTGCAATGAAAATCACCCCTCTGTATGTATCAGCCTTAGAAAAAGCATCCATTAGAACATGTTATCAAATAAAGAACTAATATAGATTCTAATGACGTATTTAGCATCATATTATTCCCCCAAGGAAATAATGAAAGTTGAAGAGCTTTGTTTGCATTTGCTTTTTTTTTAAAGAGGATGCATATACATGGCTTTTCACATCCTAACCTTGTTAATCACAATTAGGTACCTTGAGTTAACTGCAGAATTCTCATGTGAAAGCTAGTCAGCTTATTCTTAGCTGCATATATTACATAATGTATAGTACTGTATCAAAGACTAGGACCAAGTCTAAGAAACAAAATTACTTCAACAAATATCTCCTTTAATTGGAACATGTTTCCCAGACAATTATCAGCCATTTCTGTTGCAAGGCTATTCTACTTTCAGCAATTTCTTACAACCAACAGCTCCATAAAAGTTATTCTTTCAACTGAATCAGCCTTAAAGGTATTTAATACTTAGAGCAATAGTTCTTAAAACTGGAGTTAATTATTCCCAACGTGGTAGTTTGGGAATATCCTGGAAATAATGGAGCAATTTCTTATTGCTTCTTTGAGTCTAGGATCCACTTTGGGACTGCCACTGCCAAGACCCTTATGTAAAACAACAGTTTGCATTTTTCTGGAGGCAATGAGATTATTCAAGACCAGGAAAAGAATCAACTGGGTCAAACCATTTCAGAATCATTGTGCAAGAAAATAAAGTAACATTTAGAAATATACATTTATATATTGTAGCATGTATTGTTGCATATATTCATAGGGGTTCTATGTAAAGAAATTCCCTGAAAACTAGGATTTCATTATCAATAAAAATGTGAGTTGGTGTGCAGAAACACAAAACACCATCAAATACAAGGCTTGTGTGAAAGCAACAGCAGGGATGAAAGATGAGCTATTGGTTACAGTAGAGAAATTATTAACCTAAACTGCCGTAATGTTTAAATTTACAGTTTATTACTGTGTAAATTACAAGCGATACTTTGGGTAATTAGCAGCTCGCTGGCAGGGAGCTTTGAATGAAACTCATTATTTATTATTACAATTTAGAAGAGAAGAGAGGAGGGGAAGCAGTGACCTCCACTGCGAATGACATAGATCCCTTTAAGGTGATTAAGATGAATTAAACAAGTAAATATTATTTTTCTCATTAGAGGAATCTTTAAAAAGCCTATGACCCTAGGCTTTTACCAGTGGCCTAATAGTCCTTGCCTAAGACATAATATTCACGATAACTGAAAACATATTTCGACTCTTTAACTTGGTAAGTAAAGAGAAAGGGCTTGAAAAATTTGTTGAAAATGGAAGGGACATATTAAAGAAGTAGTCATTCACACATTGAGCTAATTAACTGATGAGTCAAATCTTTTTAACACATAAGATTCTTCTTTCTATGCTCAAATGAAATTCCTAAAATAGCAACAGAACTTAGACTCTAAGTGGTTTACAGAGTCAGCATATTACCCCCCAACAATCTGGCTCCTCATTTTTACCGACGCCGGAAGGATGGAAGGCTGAATCAACCTTGAGCCAGTGAGACTTGAACTGCCGAACTGCTGGCAGCCAGCAGTCAGCATAATTAGCTTGCAATACTGCACCCTAACCACTGCACCACCACAGCTCTTAAATAAACAAACTGCACATAGAGTCTAAGTACTATTACATATTCTTGCAAATTAAGCTTCCCCCAAATCTTTCTGCTTTATACGTGGGAAACTGAGATTGCAGAATTCCAGCTTCATATACAAAAGGATTCCAAGGACGGTAAGAAATGCTTGGATATACATATTTCATAAAGAATGAAATGCCTTGCAAATGACAGGCACAACTCTCAGCATTTAAATCTACTGTAATACAAGAACCACACTAATATGTCAATCAATATTTATTTCCTCCATCCTAGCTGCCAAAACAGCTTTCCTCATTCCAGGAGACCATTCCTTTCTGCTTGGTATCAACATTCTTGCTTATATTTGCAGATTTTTCTAAACTGCACACATTCATATTTAGTCAACCTCCTTTCCATAACAACTTATTATTTTCCCACAGAATCTTATTGCCACTGAAAACAAGTTTATCAAGACACTTACACATAACTAGAGTTTGTATATGAATACACATTTGAAACTGTTAGAATGAACCTCATGGCACATTTCACCAATGGGTATATTTCTTGACAATATGTGCTAAACAAATTAACATCCCCTGCAAAGCAATACCTTGCTAACCAGCCTTCTACGGCCCTTCCTAAGACAGCGTGTAGCAACACTGGGAAGACGGTTCAAACGTGGGTGAAATCCTGAAAAGAAAGAGTACAATGAAGAAACGTGAAAAAACACCAACAGAATCAGCTGGAATAAACAACAAGAATCTAGATCAGCTTCTGATTTCCAGGTTCCGTTCTATGGAGCTTGCGCATATTACAAACTAGGGCAACCACAAGACATGAATACACTATATATTGCAGCATCTTCTTTTCACCAGGGTGTGTTATAGAGTATAGGGTCTATTTTATTGTTAACCAAGCCAATTCCTTATGGTCAAAGAACTGAAATTAATTCAGGTGCACAAAACAGAATTAGTATGTTAGAACTAATTATATCAATTCATTTGTATGCAAATTCATATTGGTCTCAGGTATGTACTATGATCCCTAGTTTCTACATTACACTATAATCCAAAAGACTATTTTGTTCTCACCAATATATACTCTGAAAGTTGCACATGCCTATTACATATCTGATTTGAGCTACAGTGTATCCACAATACCATAAGAATCTCACCTCTTGTAACAGGCCGAGAGGGCAGAAGGAATGTTGGCTCTGAGATTTTTTCAAGGCTTGAGTCCATTCGTTCCATATCAGACTGGCGGTCAGGTCCCCACTTGGGCAAAAGGTTGGGGACTGTGAATCCTGAGACACATTCGCCCTCATAGAACCAATCACTCTGTTCATCGTCACCTAGGAAGGAAATAAAAAGCTATTCAAATATCTCAATATAGTCTTACAGCGAATTCCCTTATACACACACACAAAATCATAACCATTGAGCAGGCGAAAGTTATGAAACTCCGAGTAGGGGACAATTTAAAGGTGGTCACAACTTTTTTTTAAAAAAAAAAAATATCTTACTTTTTAAATATATATATATATATATCTTACAGACTGGGACAGGCAAAGTAGGAACACTGTCAAAACTAACTCAGGGGTCTGCCAGCTGCAATGTGCCCAGATAACCTGGGGGTAGGTTTAACTCTGCTTCTTTTAATGTAAAAAGGTAACATTGGAGTGCTGTCAAAACTTATCCTGGCCTTTGCTATTTTGCCTATAGTTGCATTCCAAAAGATTTTGACATCTTTTTTGATATGTCAGTTAAAATGTAATTGTTAAAAACAGTAAATGTATTTCTTACCCAGACTTGACATCAATGAAATCATTAGATTTATTCATAGAAGATTCACACAAATTCAGTAATCATTTTAAGGGGGCTGGTTTATCACAAAGTTTGAGAACCACTCTTCTAAGATAAATTTATCCCTAAATCCATATATGACAACTAAGTCCTAAATTATAATAACAGGTACTGCATCTTAATGTCTCTATAGTTATCTGTAGACATCTCCATTTCCCACTCAAATGAACTTATAAGTATCCTTACATAACTCCTTGCCATTCTTAGAAGAGACAACATATTTAATAATATGTCAGTGCCTTTTTAGGCCATTTTAAATCTTTTTACATTATTACAGGGATTATAAAGCTACAACCCCACCCCCCCCAGATATTACTGAACTGCAACTCACAGCAACCCTCATCACTGGCCATTTTAGTTGAGTGTGTTGAGACTTACAGTTCAGCAAAATACCAAAGGCCACAACAGGTTCATCTTTCTTTAATAAATGGCATGGGATGCAAAAGAGAGACAGCCTTGCCACAAGTGATCACCTGAAATCCGCATTATTTTTAAAGGCATAATGCTATAGGGCCACAACACAGCCCAAAAAGCACAGTTTTATACCATCTGGCAGGTATGCAACTGCTGGAGCTGCAAAAAAATTACAACAAGCAAAACAAAAAACAAAAAAAAACAAAAAACCAAACTCCCCAGAGCAATCAGGAATGAATGACTTGTTAGAGCTCAAGGAAAAATCAGAATCCAGCCTTCAAACACTTTAAATTTTCTTTCTTTTCTTCTCCTACACAGATTGATCACAATTTCCTGTGCCTGATTTATAATTCAAAGCACCAAAACATAGAAGAAATTACCTTGGCGACCTTCATCATTGGTGAAAAGGCCAGTGTCGCTGCTACTGCACACACTGCTGGTTTCACTGGAAAGGGAACACAAAGAATTAAGTATATATGCATTTCATATATACTTTTTTCTAAGAATACATTCCTTACTGCAATGAAAATTCACACAAACTTTCAGCACAACAAATAATACTGGTATTGCTTTATTCATCTCTACAGTTTGATTAACCCTGACATGGGATTAATCAATGAGCAATACTAAAGTGCCCCCCAAAATTGGGTGAGTGAATATAAAATACATGGAATGAAAAATAAGTTAGTAAAATATGCAATAATCTAAAACGGGGACTAAAGAAAAAATACATGAGTTAATATCATTGATTTTTACACACAGTTCTTGACGGATGAAAACTAATCAAGGAGAGAAGCAATCTAGAACTAAGGAGAAACTTCCTGACAGTTAGAACAATTAACCAGTGGAACAACCTGCCTCCAGAAGCGGTGAATGCTCTAACACTGGAAGTTTTTAAGAAGAAACTGGACAGCCATTTGTCCGAAATGGTATAGGATTTCCTGCCTGAGCAGGGGCTTGGACTAGATGACCTCCAAGGTCCCTTCCAACTTTACTACTACTACTACTACTACTACTACTACTACTACTACTACTATTACTACTACTACTATATTATTATCATCATCATCATCATCATCATCATCATCATCATCATCATCATCATCATCATTTACGACCAGAATTGGAAATTGAATTTCTATCACTAAAGAATACAGCTGTAAAGTGCAATGTCATGTGACTGCGTTGCTTAGCAGCTTTGCAATCTGTAAACCTAGTCTGCTATCTGTCTCTCATACAAAAAGAAATTTCCAAAATATGTTAAGTTGCTGGTAAAGTAATTTTGCAGAGAAAAGGGGCATACATATTAGCAGAGAAAAACACAGCAGGCAATAGAGAAGGGACAGGAGAACCAGCATGAAAACATCAAGAGCTACTTTTCAGGGTGCTATGTGCTTATAGGACATTTGGTGTAATGTTTGTATACTGCCCTCCTGCCCTCAAAGGTTAAAGGTAAAGGTTTCCCTGTCCAGTTGTGTCCGGCTCTAGGGTGCAGTGCTCATCTCTGTTTCTTGGCTGAGGGAGACAGCGTTGTCCGAAGACATTTTCCATGGTCATGTGGCCAACATGGAATGCTGTTACCTTCGCACCAAAGGGGTACCTATTTAATCTATTCACATTTGCATGCTTTCGAACTGGTAGGTGGGCAGAAGTCTCAAAGGCAAGTTCGCACAAAATGAAGTTTTAGTTCACCATAGATAATCCCCAGGTTAAGGACAAGTTCCATTCCTAACTCTTTGTTTAACCCAAATTTGTATGTAAGTCAGAACTCAAATGCTTTCAGGGACTGCTGAAAACAGACTGCACGTTAAAAGAAATGCCGCAACTTCAACAGTTTATCGGCTCAAGCAAGAAAAACAAGGTTTGCCATTTTTAGTAATCGGCAGCACGTTCTTATCTAAGGGTTGTTCTTAAGTCAGACATTCTAAACCCAGAGACTGCCTTCATTAAAAATATAAGGAACAACATATTAAAAGGAGAATCAATATTACAGAGAATGATGCCAGACTGAAAGCCTGAGTGAGAAAAGATTGCCTCATAACAGAACAAAGCTGGTGCCAAAATAGCCTACAGGTGAGCATTACAGAGAGACAGCAAAGCTGCTGAACATCCTCTGACTGACTGCAGCTCACCTAATTAAAGTTTTTATGAGGAGACACAGAGCCGTGATGGAGAATATAAGGTTTAGCCAATCATATGGGTGCATATAGAAACAGAGCGATCTAAGCTATTTAAATACACTAAAACGTTGGTGCTGCCTTTCAGAACATGTGAAACGGGAAGCCTTTAGTGATTTTGGGGTGTGTGCATACACCTTTGAATCCTATTGACTCCTGACCACTGTTTGGACAAATCCCCACGGTTTTCTTGGCAAGATTTTTGAAGCGATTTGCCTTTGCTTTCTTCCTTAGGGCAGAAAGAGAGGGACCAGCCTAGTCACCCAGTTGACTTTGTGCCTAAGGCAGGAGTAGAATCATAGCCTCATAATTTCTAGCCTGGTATCTTAACCACTATACCAAACTATCTCTCTTTAATAAATTACATCCAGTTAATAACTATAGTTTCCATGAACCCTCCAAGACAGTTACAGTAAGTTACAACAAAGAGTAAGCAATGATTCTCTAAGTTATTCAGCATTGTACAATGAACATATAGAGCAAGGCTTTTCAACCAGTGGTACGGGTACCACCTGTGGTACATTGGCACCTGGCAGGTAGTACGTGACCATCCTAGAAAAGTGGTATCAGGGGAGGGGAATGAGCTGAACCGGTGGCAGCACCACACAAGCCTGAGCGAGAGACGGCTGGAGTTGCAGGGCTGTCAGGCTCAGCGGAAGCACCAGGATCAGCACTTTTTCGGGACTGTCAGGGCTCAGTGGAAGTGCCAGGATCAGCCCAGGCTCCAGCTGGAGCTCGGCGCTGATCCTGGCGCTTCTGCTGAGCCCAGAAGAAGCGCCGATCAGCTGGAATGTTGCAGCATCTCCAGGGTCTTGTGATTTACATTCAGATGCTTGGCAACTGATTCATATTTATGAAGGTCACAGTGTCCCAGGGTCATGTGAAGGGACCAAAACCTGCTGCAACCACCCAGCAGACGGGGGGAATAAAAACCAAACACCCCCCCCACCCCACCCCCGCTGCCAATCCTCAACGGAAATGCTCACAAAAATGAAAACCTCGGATAGGAGGAAGAGCGCTGCCGGGCGGGCAGGCAGGTGTCTTGCTCAGCTGTGGCTTGGGGGGCACTTTTTTCAGTGCCATTGTAACTTCGAACAGTCACTAAGCGAACTGTTGTAAGTCAAGGACTACCTGTACTTCATCACTTTTTTTTTTTTTAGTCATCAAGTTTTTGACACCTTGATAGGTGACTGGTGGTACTCGGATATTGCCATATCCTAAAAGTGATACACTGGGTGAAAAGGTTGAAAAGCCCTGATATAGAGAACATGTCTAAAAAATAATTGTAAGGAATAATATATTCTTAGTAGAAAATAACAGACATCTATTAATGGATAATAACAGAAAATGAGCACAACTGATTGGGCATCTACACAGAAGAATGAATGATATGAGCCACATTGTACAAGCAAAGGCAACATTTTCTCAACCTCACAATTATTTTGTTACTTTTACTAATTAAACTGCTTCAGCTTAGTGTTTCTTAACCTTGCCAATGTTTACGATGTGTGGACTCCCATAATTCTCCAGCCAATTGAAGCCCACACATCTTAAAGCTATCAAAGTTGAGAAACATTGCTTTAACAGCCAGACATCAGATTATTAACTAGAATAAAGGGACACAAATATTATACAATAATAAATAGGCATGTTTAAAAATAATCATTTATTTGGGAGGAAGGGTAGAAAACAAAACGATTTGCAGGATAACATTGTATTTATATTACATGTGAATATCTCCTCCATTTATTTCACTGGAAAGGAAGCTAAATTTTGTTTCTGCAAAAATGATAGATCTCCCTGGATAACACATGTATCAAATCAATAGCCAGCATTCCAAATACTTAGATAATTATTTCTCTAATAATTATTATGCTCTGTGGTCAGCTTCATATTTTGTAAATAAAAACTAAGCAAGAAAATTAGGTGCCCTTGAATTTCTTTAAACAAAAGAATACACTCCAGCATTCCTTCTGTTTATATGCTGTAGTTACAAATGCCAAGTGTATCTGACAATTCCTTGAAGATCAGATATGTATGATAGCATCTGATTTATATTTACTTATGTGGGGTATCTTTGTCAGTGTCATTAAAAAGACACTAAAAGGTCCCATAATAATCAGCTCCTAAAACTATCTGTATTTCAGAATTAAATGGTTATATTCAAAAATAAAAACATAGGATCTCCCTTTCATAATTACTGAAAAATACAAATATTAATAAGGATGGGAGACTTAACACATCATTTGCTCAGTATTATTTTCTTGAGAGCAAAGCCACAGAATGCATTACAGATAGTCCTCGACTTACAACGGTTCATTTAGTGATTGTTCAAAGTTACAACAGCACTGGAAAAAGTGACTTAAGACCATTTTTCACAGTTACAAACATTGCAACATCCCTGTAATCATATGATCAAAATTCAGATGCTTGGCAATATTTATGTCCTTTGCTGTGTCCCAAGGTTCAGTAATCACCTTTTATGACCTTCTGACAAGCTAAATCAATGGGGAAACCAGATTCGCTTAACAACTGGATTACTAACTTATCAACTGCAGTGATTCACTTAACAACTGTGGCAAGAAATGTCATAAAAAGGGGCAAAACTCACTTAACAAATGACTCACTTAACAACAAAGATTTTGGGCTCCTATGTGATTCTAAGTCAAGGACTATCCATATATTGCAGCAAACACCAGTAGGTCCTCTAAAACAGAGGTCTCCAAGCTTTCTGGGCTCGGGGACCGGAGGGAAGGAGAGCAGCTTCAAAATTGGTGTGTGTGCGCGTGCGCACAAGGGGCCATGCACACTGATGCAGCACTAGTGGTGCCGTGCGCATGCCCAAACGACCACGCAAACCGCCCGGGCTAGCAGCACATGAGCAAATGGGCTACAGACACCTGCTCCGCGCTAGCATTTCTGTTCACGCCTGTGCGCATGCACAAACAGGGCTGCGGGCGCTAGTGCGAGTGGAGGGAAATGTGCGCCCACGTGTGCACGCACCAGCCTTTTCTGTGGCCCGCTGGCCAAGAGCCCACGGCCCGGTCCCAGGCCGCGGACCGTAGGTTGGGGACCCCTGCTCTAAAATTGCCCAAGATCAACTTGCTTCAAACAATAATCATACATTTCTCTTTTGTTAACATCAGGGTTGCACAATTTGGTGGTAGAGTTGGGGTTAGGAGGATCACCTCTAAATTGCATGTCAGGCACAGCACTATAAAGAGGAATAAAGTTATATAAAAATGTCTGTAAAATGACCGAGGGACAACAATAAAACAGTAATATTATAACATATAATTTGTGCAATTATTTAACTGTTAAATGTAAACTCACAGTGATTTTTGTTCTCATTTCTCAATAAAGGATATGAGCAAAACAAAATGACAACATGTTCTCTTACTTATTCTACCATACATCTACTTACAAGTCTTAAGTAGATAGGAGGTAGCAGGAGAACACAGTATTAAGTAATTGGCAACCAAATCTTAGTTCATAAGGGTCTGCGGTTTTGACATGTATGGTTTATACAGATTTGTTTTGGAAGTATGGTACTACCAAATCCTCAGATAGGATGAAACAAAAATAACAAAGTGACTAAGCTTTCATTTCTCACTTCACTCACCCAAAGATCATATAAACTAAACTCTGTGTTGTTTTTACATTAAATTCTTACAGTTCCTTAGCACAGGCCAAACAGTCCAGTAAGCACTGATTAATGACCTCCAGTTACAAAGAAGGCCACTTGCCTTAACCAGAAAATAATGAATGCTATTGATCCAACAAGCTACTGCTATAGAGTTATTGATCACCCAATCTTTGGTTAAAACGGTCTTCATTTAGCAATTGCACTGTTGCCAACACCTGGACCAAAGCATGCCTGTAATTAAATAGTGCAGAAGAGTTAAAGTGAGAGGTGATGGACAAGATCTCAGCTCTCCCCCATTCAGTTATGCTTCTGAGCTATTGTTTGTGTCAAGAAGAGTATTGATTTTCTATAAAAATAAGAAAACAAGAGGCACAGAGGGGGGTGCAGAAGGTCAGGCTGGGCTGAAGAAGGAGGGGGAGGCTAAACACTCCATCTCTGTCACTTGCTCTGTCACCCAACAGGCAAAACACTCAAACCTCTTTATCCAAGTTCTCAAGTAGCCACTTCAGGCTGCAGCTTATATTCTTCACATCAGAGGGAAAAGAAAATAAGCTAAAAACCCCAAGAAACAAGTTAATGGTTTAAGTCTCAGATCTGACACACTACGAAACATATATAAACAGTATGTTTGGCCCATAGGAATAAAATTAATAGGTAACAAAATACTATTAATATGAATTAATCTTGGATATACTTTTTCTACTGGTCCCTCCAAAATGTAACTGACATTTTAATAAATGTCAGTTACATTTAATAAATAGACCTGCTTTAGACTCTATGCATGCTTTGCTAAAATACTATAGAATGACCCCTCTTGAATGCTGTGGACTTATTGATTTTGATTAAGGGTGCAGAGGAATTAAGATGGGTATCTTTGCTCATCTAAGAGAATTCAAAAAAAATCATACCTCTTCTTGGCTGATTATGGATTACTAAATCTAGCATTCTTCTGAATATAGAAAATAAGAACACGTAATTCAGGACTGAATCACTAAATATACTGCCCACCCGCTGCTATCCACTTTATTTGACCTCTTGCTGTCAAAAAAGAACTGAAAGCCTCTGCTTTCCTAACAGTTCCCTGAACAGGAAAGAAAAACAATATATTGTAATCCATGCAGGACAAATAAAATGAAAAGCACATAAGAAGGGAGAAGATGGATAAATGGTATAATCTTAATCAAACTCAAGATCATGAAGGAAAATATGAAGCAGTTCTTGGATTGTTTATTTGTATAAAGGATTAGCAGTGAATTTAAGTTCCTTTATAGGATGTAATGATAGTAGATTATTTTCTTTACCCAGAAGCTGGTTAAATATGGTACTAGTATGTGTATCCTGAACTACTATTTCTAATACATATTGAAAATCAATCATTAAAATCAATTCAAAGATACACAACCCAGGTGACAATCTTTTTGTAGAATTCTATCAAATAATTCAAAATTCATTTTATAAGCCATGGAAAACACTTCTACTTCATCAGTATCCTAATGATGCCCTCTTTTTAGTTCTATCAAAAATTCTTCCATTATTCCATAAGCCAGTGGTGGCGAACCTATGGCATGGGTGCCAGAGGCGGCACTCAGAGCCCTCTCTGTGGGCACGCATGCTGACGCCTCAGCCCCGCCTCTCCCCACAGCCCCCTCATCACCAGCATCCCCCCTGGAGAGTTGCCCCCAGGTGTGGACCATGTGGAGCAGCACAGCCAAGCACATGGCAGCCAGGCAGCGGGGGCAAGACTCCATCCTCACACCCTGTCACACACAGATGATGCGCGGAGTGTGGAGGGCGTGGCCATGGTGCTGCTGGGCCACCTGGGCAATCTGCGGCGGGCCATGGAGGCAGTGAGTGGTCCTGCGGCTGGGCAGGGTGGGGGGCGGGGCGGGACAGGGGCAGTTTTTGGGCACTCTATCTCTAAAAGGTTCGCCATCACTGCCATAAGCTGTGAATGCTCCAAATGTATAGATTATTAAGAAAGATATTTTACTCATCATATCTGACTACATCATACCATTCACATACTCAATCAGAATGTAATAAAATAGTTTTGAGATACATTAGCATTCAATGAAGTCCAAATAAAAGTGTAGCCAAATAAATACACTCAGATAATACTATCAAAGTTATTCCAGAACCTACAATATCTTCTAAGACCTTAGGAGCTAAGGACATAATGGAAGAACCAATAGGGCCTCTTCTTCTAAACAACTTTGCTTCATTCTAAACCTCAATCAATTGCTCACATCTTTTATAACTCATGACAAGAAACTGCTCAATTAAAAACTGCACATTGTTGGAGATGAATGGTTTAAGGCAGGGGTAGGCAACCTTGGCTCTTTTATGACTCGTGGACTTCAAATCCCAGAACTCTTGAGCCAGATGCTGGCTCAGGAATTCTGGGATTTGAAGTCCACGAGTCATAAAAGAGCCAAGGTTGCCTACCCCTGGTATAAGGTAATGCATGCAGTACCATTTCTTCTCTCAATCTTCCTGCAAGTGAAGAAAGGCCAACAATTACATGAACCTTGACTTAATATTACAAGTTGCTAATTTCCATCTAGAACCTATTATTCAGAACCAAAAGCAATTCATCTTAAAAGAAGATGCAAGTTATATGCCTAGAGCAACGGAGAGCATTGTATATTCTCATTCAACATCCTTTAATTAGACTGTGGTGCTTAATTACAACTGATACTTGTTTCACAAAAATCAAAATAGCAGCATTCCTCTTGGAACATCTCCATTTCAACATCAACAAATCACTTTTTAGAAAATAATGTTTAAAATAATGCTGACTAAAGACTAAACACACTTTATTTTCTTCTTAACAAACGATGGATATTAGTCTCACACAAAATACTGGTCTACACAAGTATGCCCTGCAAAACAGTTTTCCATAAATTATGTGAGAAGACTGGGCTAAGGTAGTCTAATGAAAAGGGGAACTACCTAAAGGAAAGAGCCACTACTTGCAAAAAGACAAAGTAAAATATTAGAGCCTCGGATAAGAGAAGAAAGGCCTAGACATCTCACCATTCTGACATGTTTTCATCAGAACCCTGTTTCTGTTCATCTGCTTCACACTCCATCCTTTCATTCCTTCCCCCTTTGCTGAGGAAGGCTCTTGTCTCTGCTGACTCACAGAGTCCCCGGCCAGTTGATGTCCAGGGAGCATTCTCCTTCCAACGGGAAAGGCGCTGCTTTTTAGCCGATTTGAATCTGCAACCCTTCTCATAAGTCCATTCCGATACTCGGAGTTTCTGCTGAAGGCTAGCTGCCACTTCTGATGTCACACGCTTAACTTTTCGACGGCGCCTCAAGGGTCGACAAGGCGCATTCTCAGTGAAAGAGTCTGATTCGTGCCACGAGTGTTGCTTATTCTTGAGAGCTGTGCTGAGAGTTGGATGTTTGGCTACTGCCATGTCATCAGAGTCACTAAAGTAAGCAGTTAGCACTTCCCGGCAGTCTTCCACAACCTCTTCTAGGCTGGATTCTGAGGCCCCACTATAGCAGCAAGCATGTTCCACTTGGTGTGTAAGGTCTGAACGCCGCTTGCGTCCCCGTCTCTTACGAAGCTGCCGACGCTGCTGCCTTGGGCTCAGAGTCATTTCTTCCCATAATTCATCCAGCTTGTTCTGTTCTGAGGTCTGCTCAAGAGCCGAGGCCAAATCATGTACTAGCTCATCCATCAGCAATGTCTACCAAAATAAAAAGTACACAATTAAATCAGTCATGTTGCATGTCATCACAATGATAGAATTTATTTCCAAGTGACGTAATATATTTTCAAAAAATTACTTTGGGTTAGCTTTACTTTTTAAAGAAGAATAAAAAGAAGATATAGTTAATCTATATTGTGTTACTATTTACAGTACTATTACAGACTGTTTAGTCTTTTTGAGATGGAGGACTGTGAGAATGGCTCTAAAACCCACAGCAGACTAATAACCCAAACTCTGTGTATTCCATTTCTGCAGAAAGTCACTTAGATGTATTACACAACAGTAATACCTATCTGTTTATAAGTGTCTCTCAGGCTAAACTATTTTATAGAATTAAAGAAGAAAGAGACCCCATGAATCAGCCTAAAATCCATGATGTAATCATGGGGAGAAAACAACAACAATAGAAGGGACCATGTGTAAAACAGGCAGTGTTGATAAAGGAAATGAGTTAGCAAAATTATGACAAGGGGAGAAGGCATAACTTAAGAATACAACAGCATCTACTTTCTCTGAGACCCACTGCCTTGACAAATCGAGAGAGAGAATGGTTATAAGGAAGTGGCATTTTATTTCCTTTCCATAATCAAACTATTACCAAAGTGGTGTCCGAATTGCTGATAGCTATCTTATAAAAAGATCGTCGCTGTGATAAAAGCGACTCTCCCAATTCTATTGACTGGACCACCAGAGACGGTTGGAAAACAAGCAACCTTGCCCGAAATTGTGGGAAATTGGTTCTAGATAGTGCCAGACAGCACCGAGAGGGTAAACAAACGGTGATCTTCTAGTCCACCCGCCCACCATCTCCTCTCCAAACAGACTGGGGGAGGCTGGGTCATCACCTGCTGCTGGAGAGCAATAGCCGAAAGCATCGAGCTGTCTTCTGCCACCGGACGACAAGGATCTTTCGTCCGATCCAGCGGGGCGCCTGCTCTATTCCGCCCCCGGCTCTCTCACCCAAACCTTCCCCCCTCCCCGCGCCACCGCTGTTTTCCCCGAGCTGCAGACCCTCCCAAAACACGGGTGTCCCCCCCCCGCTCCCCTGGAGCGCGTAAGGCCTCCTTGACCCACCCCGCCAGTTCCCCCTTTCGTCTCCGCGGCTAGGCCACCGACGCTCCGCATCGGACGCTCCACCTTCGCGCATCGGCTAACTCACTCGGCTCCCGCAACAACCTCCCCAACTCCTTCACCACAACCACCTCTCTAGGCCTTCCCGGCTCGGCACGGAGTCAGCTCCAAAAAAACCGCTTCCGGTCCTCGGAGGGGGGGAGGCATTTCCTCCTCTTCCGGAAACATTGACGTCACTCTTCGCCTCGGTGCCAGCGGCCGGGCGGGGCGCTCGGGACGGGGCGAGGCTTGGCGAGGGAGCGCTGCTCTGCCGCCCTTTGGCGACTTATCCCGGTTGGCCGAGGACTCTTCGTTTGTTCACTCGGTCTCCGCTTCTCCGGTTTAAATTCACCGCGGGGAACTCGTGCCTGCTTTTGTCAAAGGAAAGTCTATATGAATCCAGCGGGATTTTAACATTTGAGAAACGGCGATTCTTAAATAAGAGAGAGCAAAAGTCGGAGACGCCATGGGAAAGCCCAGAGAGCCTGGCAGTGGCGTCCGGAAAGGGGCCGCTTTCTCTTCTCCAGAAAGGCGCCTTCGTGATCTCCAAGAAGGGCGTCCGTGTAAACAACTCGCGCGCCGCAATCATTTCTGTCCGGTTGTGTTAAAACACACGAGCGCCCCTTTCACAGTTATTGAAGTGTCACGTGTATTTGTGCTGAAGTGGACATGCCTCAACCCGAAGGGAGTTGCAGGCACCAAAAGCCCCTGGTCTTCTCGTTTTGTTTCTGCCGCAGCAGACGCAATGCCAGCCCCTTTCTAGATACAGAGCAATCTCGTATTTAGACACTAAATAACCAGACCAACTTGGCTTAAGTAGGTGCTGTATCTCCCCCTCCTCCCGCCCTTTAAGTAATGATGGCTATTTACTCCTGAGTTGTTTTACTGTATCCCACTGTAAACACCTTACGAGTAGGCAATAGTAAATCATTTACCTAAGACTGCCCAAAAAATAAAGCATCTGGCCTTGAAGCCTTCAGGTATCCAATCATTTTTGAAGTATTTATTTTTTACCTATCACAGAGGGATCGTTCTCCAGTGGAATATATTCATACGTGATGCTCTTTTTTAGATAGGACTTAAGTATACAACTATACTGGGTTTTTTTAAAGTAACTCACATTTTCATTTACTATGCACACATTTCATTTGTATTTTTTTTCTCCAATCAGAAAAAAAGGTCCTTTCAAATAGATTGCTGCCTCCTTAAACCATAAACGAAGCTGGTGTGATACTGTAATTAAATGACTAGGTTAGGGACGATTCAAATCCCTTCATGAAATTCACTGGGTGGCCTAAACTAGTTCTCAGTCTTTTTGCCACTCTCTTGATAAATTGAAATTTGAAATGTTGAGTTTATCACACATAAATCCTAGGAGTCTCTGAATTAATCCAGAATACAACTAGGAGTACCCCTCTAAACATGGTTTTGGAAAACTAAAGCATTTATTTGCACATATTCTCAGTGCTCTGTTTTATAAAATGTTAAAGATAAGATCTCACAAGTTTTTAATATTCAGAGATAAATCCTGAGATTTCAGTTGAAAAGGTCTGACATCTTGCAGAATCTTGGTTTTGGATGACCTTAGTATTGTGTAAGAACATGAAATTCTTGAGGATAAGAATGCCAAAACACAAAATGTTGTAATTTCACAATGTTTAACTATTATGATTAATTATTATGGTCTGGTGTCTGAAAAAATTATAATGTTCTGTCCTCGCCATTTTAGTCAGCACATGTTTAAGTTTCTACGGGGTTATTTACAAAGTTGCATTAACATTTTTGTCCATAATTAAGTGTTCAGACTCCCTGAACTACTAGCCATGTTCCCATGAAATATTCAATTATTTTTACTATGATTTACTCAGTCTGGGTCTGAGCTTTTACTATGATTTACTCAGTCTGGGTCTGAGCTTGCACAAAACCATGAATTAGGCTAAAACATTGTAAAATAAAATGCAGTTGAATAATCATGATTCATTCTGTCATACAAATACAGCCACCACAAGATAGGACATAGTTTGCTACTTTTAATTCTTTAACAAGGTTTAATTAGTCGCCTTATTAGTGAGATGGGCTGCAAATAAATTAAATAAATAAAATCAGCCCATTATTTCCTAAATCATCAATCTGATGTCACATTTCTTTGGAGTATTCAGATATCTTCTAAAATGTTTCATTTGTTATTTGCTGACATCTAAATGAATATATTTTTCTGAAGATTAAGGTTATAAGATGGCCATGGGGAAAAAATGCCCATTCAATGGCCATTCCTAAAGAGTCCAAGGCATTGTTGGA